TAAATTAAAGTCACCTTTGGTCCTAATGAACCCCTGTTGTTTGCCTAATGCCATGATTAATTCCAGCTGCAAGAAATGGTATTAGCCTGGGTGGGTACATGGTTGAAGACTCTGATTCTCCTCCAAGATTTATGGGTGCTAGAGAAGGCTCCATAACTCATGTTGCTGAGTCTATAACTTTTCAGGCAGTAAACAGAAGCCTCTGCCACAACAGGCCTCCACTGGTGGATTCACCCTTAATTTGTTCCTGCAGTGGGAACTTAACTCGATTATTTGGGCACAGATCAACTCCTTTCTTCCAAAGCTCAGCAGAAAGGGAGGCATCCCAGACCTTGAACAGACAGCTCGTGGCAGGCACCCTCACCTGCAGGACAGCACAGCCAGGAAGGACTGAAGCTGGTACTCTTCCCTCCAGAAGGAAAGGTTTCCCTCAGACCACGTTACCACACCAGACTTACAGGGCAAAAAAAGAGGAAAGCAAGCAGGAACCAGATTTTGTCCTGTGGTCTGAGAAGTACTGAGCTCTGGTTCTAGATCTAAATATTTATTTTGGATCCAAAACTAGTTATCCAATAAGTAATTAACATGGAAGAGTACCACTGGAAGTAGAAGCCATGAGCCACCAAAACCCAAGGTCTGGCACATACATGTCTAGCCATAAAGATGTTCAGAAAGAAGAGAACAGCTCTCAACACCCTTGAGAGATCATGCTCAGTGCCATCACACAGCTGCAGCACATCTGCTGGACCTCCAGGAGATGCAGTCATGAGAGACTTCGCTGTGAGCCAAACCACCCATGGGATGAGGTCTCTGCACTGGCCAGGTAGGGCTGCCTCAGTGCTGTAGCAGAACCTGGACTTCAGGTGGCCCAGCACCTAAGAGTAAAGGTCCATTCCAGTGCAGAACCTCTTTCTGAACAATTTCCTACACAGTAAACGTTTCCATGATCAGCAGCCACTGACGAGCTCCTCCTTCATGTCTGTAGCTTTGATCCCACTTGTACTTACTGCCATCATGACATCAGATGGCAGAATCCCATCTCCTCACTACCTCTGGTGTAGCAAAGGCAGGTGCCTGCCAGGGCACAGCGTGGTGCTGGAGGAGGTGTGTCAGCTATGGCCACAGCCTCTAAATTCTGACTGTACCATGACACCCAGAAGAGAACATCACAGTGACCTACAAAACCCTTGACTTCCTTTATTTCACAGGTTCACAGGTGAATTTATTTGTGGCCAGTCCCTTCTACATTACCTTCCCCTCCTCCTCTCCATATTAAGGCCATAGAAGTTGCTTAGTATTCAAAAACATGACTAGATTATCAGTCCTTTTATTAGTGCCAGTGGCAATCTGATACCATGTTCCAGCCTGGCCACTTGCTTCACACCTCCCCAGCTAGCATAAACTGTCCTTACTCATAGTTGCAGAGATTTCCAGAAAAGAGGGGGAAGTCAGCAAGTCTGACACCACAAACTCAGAAAATAAAGTACAGTTTGGACTGGTCAGAGGTGGAACAGGAGAAGAACAGATGGGAAACCTCAGCTATATGAAAATCTCTGCCTTCTCCTCAAAAAAATAATCATTACAGAGAAAAAAAGTGTTCTGTTACCAGAATTCTGCTTTAGGTTTGAATCTGTGTGAGATATCTGCTGCTTACAACCAAGTCCTTCCCTGGCAATCAGCCTACAGGATCAATTCTTAGGAGAACTGTCACATATTTAAACCCAGATATATACAGAGCAGCTCAATCTGGATGGAGTTTAAGATAGAGATGAGAATAAGGCATATAACATTTGAGGGGCCAAGGTAGCAGAAACAAATATCTGTAAGTCCAGGGTTCAGAACTGTCTCATTCCATACAGCAGCTCAATACAAATCACAGTCTAAGTACAACATTATCCTATTCAGTTCTCATGACTCCCCTGGCATCCACCTCACCTAGGCCAGGACTGCACTTGAGCAAGAGTGAAAAGGCAGAGCCAAACCATGTTACACAACTCCACAAAAGAAATACAGAGGTTCAACAGGCTTCAGACAAACCCAAGAATAACCATTACACTGTGGAAAGTATTTGCCATTAAAACATTTTTCATTAAAAGTGGCATTTCTGAGAGTTCTATCCTGCTGAAAAGCAATACCAGCCTCACATCAGAAAGTCTTTAAGAAAAATTTCCATTGCTATAATTAACTTCTCTGTTGAGGTTGTATTGTTCCTCTTTCACAGAAAAATCTCAGCAAAATTTCCATGGTTTAAAGGCAGCCAAAAAGGTGTCCTGTTCCATTTTTCAGGAAGAACTTGTGGTCACAAGGCATCTAGTAGAACTTTAAGCTATACATAGGGTGCAGAGCAAACACAGGGTAAACACCTACTCCTCTGAAACCAAAGGCAAGCCAATTGAAAGGCCCAGCTTGTTCTGTAAGCCAGCCTCGACACTGGAGCAGCTACAAAGTCCTATCTGTTGGCCAACAGTTGCCATGTGACCACAGAGGAGTCACAAATAATGCAAGATCCAGGCTTGTAGAGCATGTTCCCTCCCAGTACACCTTTTCTTAATGTGAAGAGCCTCAAGAATGAAGACAAAACCTTAGACAAGTAATTTTAAAAGCAAACTGTACCCCTCACTGCAGCCAGATTCTAACTCAGCCTGGTTTCAACCCTGCCAGTACTCCAACAGTGAGAGACCCTCATAGATGAACTGGTAATAGTCCAAACAACAGCAAATTCACGTCTTCCAGACAGAACAGCCTTGAATGAGGCCCTGCTATTTCCCTGATCTCTGGGTTTGGGTTGCTCACATGTGCAGATTAACAGACTAACATTACTGTGAAGTCTTCTGGTTGTGTGTCGCATTTCTGAGATGTGAAGGGGCAGGGAAGACTCCCCAAAGTAACACCCAGAATAGAAGCTAACACAGTTATCTCTGCACTAAGTCCAGTAACTTCCAGACTTCTCTTTGTATCTTGCTCCTTACTATTAAAAAAAAAAAAAAAAAGTAACATGATTTAACTCTACTTTGAATAGAGGTCTGGTAATCAGGTGCCGTTTTTATTCACACACTCCCAAAAGAGATTAAAAATTACATTTCCTCCTGGTAATAGCAGTCCACACACTGATTAAGTCATATCAATTTCATCTTTCTGAGATGAAAATATTTAATTTTATTCTCTTAACTTCATGAGCTAACTCTGAAGATACTGGTGCACTGATTCTGCTGATTTCTCCATCTGCCCTAAAAATATTGAAGCCATTCTTCCACTTTTTACACTCCTTGATCAGTCCTTACTGAACTTAGAGTTGCTGTGAATTGGGTGAGGAGGGAGCAGAAACAAAGGAGGAAAAGAAAGTCTAGTTTATGTCCATCACGACAAAGGAAACAAAAACTGTTCAACTGTCCCAGAAACATGGAAATATAACCAGCTAAACACCACAAACAGCTCAGAATCAGATGCATCTTGTGCATACTTCTGCCCAGAGAATCATTAGAAGACTGGGGAAATGAGATGCCATTTAGGAGTATAATAATAAAATGCCTATTTTATAAGGAGCATATATATTACACAGGCTTAAATGATAACCCAAAACTGGATCCAAAGCTGAACAGGCTGTTATCTTGACCCTCAGCTAGTCAAGGATGCAAACCATCCAGGAAAAGAAGAGGGGAAAAAAAAAAAAAAAACACCCACAACCAACCAAAACAGTATAATTCCCAAATTTCTTCCAGGCCTGCTTCAGTCCCACTGATACATCTCCATTCCTTATCAAACAAAATGCCTAAAGCCTTGTCCAGAGACTCAGATGAACGACAGATTGACAATATTCCAGGAAATCTCAGCAGAGCATGAAGTTAACAGGAGGAGCAGAGGCATTCCCCAATTTTTGGTAGCTTCAGTTTGAACCTGGCTTTCTTATTATGCCATTAGACATTGTTCAGTCCCAGGACTTTTTTCTGGATGCAAGGATTACCCTGTGAAGGCTCTGGCTGTAGCTGCATGGACAGGCCCATCACATGAGCACAATTTCTACTTGTGGTTTAACCAACCCAGAAGAAGTAATTCCCAGAAATCCCAGATGCTCCAAACTCATACTTCACCAAGAGGAAAAGAAATAATTTCAGAGTGGTTTCAGAGCAGCAAAACACCTGGTTTGTTGAACTGGTATTTGATTACACTCCCAGCTACACATGATCTCCTCCACTACTCATTCACCACCCCCTGAGGAACACCTGTAGCAAAAAAAAACACCTATCCTAAAACAGCGTGTCTGGACAAGAGAAACTGAAAAATGAGACTTGAAAAGCAAGCTCAGAGACTATGAAACAATACTTCTGCCACCCTGGATCGCAGACTCACATATGTGGCTCAGTGGGTTTGTTCATCGTGAAACCTCAGATTCTGCAGGTGACCTACTCCTATCCCACCAGCCTGCACTACTACACAGGACAATTTAGCAGACAACACAAATACATCCTGTCCCTTATCTTCAGAAGGCTTCCAAACACCATTGCTAAAGGTCTGCACAATGTAAAAAAAAAAAAAAAAGATTTCTTTGCAGCAAAAAATATTCCACATTCCTGTAAGACATTCTTTTGTTTACAAAACATACATCAAACAACTTTTTTAACCTTCCCTTTGACAATATAAATCAAAATAACTGCCATCCAGGTCACATCTCAGTCCTCAAACCTAGAAGAGGATCCCTACTCATTAGACAGGGACAAAGTTGCTCTAAGCAGCACCACAAAGAATTTAGCCAGAAGTAATTTTTGAAAACACCAAAGGAGAATTTGGGACAGATATGAACACAGTGAAGTTGCAATAAGCTCCACATGGGTGCAACAAAGCAGTAACAATAAATGTATTACAACAATCAGCTTCACCTTTAGCCACATCTCTCCAAGAAAAGCAAATATTTCTTACCTGTGAGCCCATGGCAGATGGTGACACACAAGGTCGAGAAGACAAGCTGGCTGCATAGCTGGTGGAGATTCTTCCTGTGTCCTTACCTTACAATCCAAGTGAAGCATAGCCAGGCCCTGCTGTCCTGTTTGACCACCAATCCCAGCTGCTGGCACTTCAAGGAACCTGGGCAGAAGACAAAGCAGAGACCCATCAGGAGCAGCCAAAGTGTTCCCTCTCCCGCCAGACCCCAACCATCCAATTCCATCAGCCACTATCATCTTTCTAAAGCAAATCCTGGTGGGTACGTGGAACATGGACTGCCCTGGTAACAAAGGCTTAAAACCTCCAAGCGACATCTTACTGAAAATGGGTAGATGAATTCAGAGCAGATTCTCCCCTTCCTCAAATGACATCCCAGGTGGAGTATCCTCCTGAAGATGGAGACTGACACTTAAGTCAGACTATGTTAGCTAACACGTTTCACCTGGGATGCTCATAACTAAGCCCAAAATGGACTTGCTGGCAGTGCTCAGCCCTTGCTGTCATACTGCTGGCACCTGGCCATACCCCTGAGCAATAAAGCAGACAAAAGCACAGAGAAAATTATGGGATAACTCTTGGAGCAGCAATAGGCTCATCTAGAGTTGCAGACCCTTCATTTGCAAATCAGTTCTGGCTGACACTATGGCAACTGGGCCACAAGAGTCTTCCTTCTCCAAGGGGAGAGACAAATTAGCCCCATTCCCGTTGCTTATTTTTTCGTGCTCAGCACTAAAAGCTTTATCCAGACTACAATTATTTCATCACTGCCTTATAGCACAGGCAGGTTTGGAGGATCACCAGAAAAAAAAAAAATGAATGTCTCTTCAGCAACATCTCTTTCCTGCTATGCCTTGAAAAATTAAATATATATATATATATATTTATATATACACATGTTAGAGTTTTCAGAAGGTAATGGAAGGACTTCTGAGCATTCAAGATGACTGCAATTTAAGATCCTCCACTCCAGTTAAACTATTTTGCCAAAGTTGATTTTAAAAAATGAAAGGCTCATCCCACCACAATACAACTGTTTTTATCCCAGGTACTTCAAGAAGAAAGAATGTTTGTTCTCTAAAAACTGCTTTAGAAATATTTTTACCAAAAAGATGAGGGGAGAAGGACTAATTTTTTAAATCACTGTTTTCTCCTCTCCCAGCTCCTTTATCTTTTCCCTAGTGTTTTAGTATAGAAAAAGAGGAAATGCCAGTTACACACAAAAGCTCAGCTCATGCTTTTTAATTCCATGAAAAATAGATCCAGAAAGTGAGTAAAACATTTTTTTTCTCCCACAAAAAACCCTCAAGTTTTTTAAAAAAATATTAAAAAAAACCACTTCAATAAACTTCCCTTACTCAGTTTTAACCCAGTGCTCACTCCAATTAGGGCTCCACATTTAAACCCCTTCTAACAGAGGCATAACAAACCGACATTAAGCTTGTTTATTGTTACTTGCTAGCTCAAAAAAAAACCCAACCTGAGTCACAGGCTCAGAAGAGCTAGATCCGAGGTCAGCATCCCTAATCCCAAAGCCTCCTTTAATTTTACAGTCAACAAAGCCATCACTGGTGAATATCACAGGGATTATTCTCCAAGCAGCAGAGCAAGACTGCCCATCTAATTGGAGAGCAAGCAGAAGAAAAAACTTGCACAGGGTTTGCTGGCAGCCTGCGTTTCCTCGTGTTCCCCTCCAAGCAGGTACACACCTCCATCCTCCCCGGGGGTCAGCACCTCCTGCTGCAGAGCTGAGGTTGCTGCAGGCAGAGGGTTATATATAGATGTGTCGGTGGGCTGGGCTTGTTGTGACTGGGTGGGGCCTGTTGTGAAGGGGCGGAGCCCGTCCATGGCATCATGGGATCGTCACAGAGTCAAAGAATCACCATGGAATCATAGAACTATCATAGAATGTTTTGAGCTGGAAGGGACCTTAAAGATCCTCTAGTTCCAGTCCCCCTGATTGGAATCCATGACAGCGGAAGCCCAGCCAGGAATCTGGCAGGTTCTGAGTGGTATTTCCGGGGTTTTCCACGCAGAAGAAATCATTAAAAACTGTGCTTTTCTGCATCTGTTCTAAGAAACAGAAGCATCTCCATGCTGCAGTAGCTGGAGTAATAATTTTGTGTTCCAAATAACAGGGTTCTTGCCCCTCTGTCCCCAGAAGCAATGATCAGGTGGGAAGGTTGAAGGACCAAGAGACCTTCAGTTCCTTGAGTCTGTCCTGTATAACCCTGGGAGAACAGACCCTGAATTAAATCTTTTTGGCGTTCTGGCACATGGCAGCTCAGACACCAACAGGGTTTCCAGGAAACTGCTGCATACTCCTGAGAAAGCAACATCTCCAGCCTGCTTTGCCCCTAGAAATACTCCAGCCAAACTGTGCATGAACGGCCAAGGTGTATCTGGGATATTCAGAGGTTAAATGACAGCAAGTGGTGCTATAGCTGAAGGTAAAATCTGTTTTATTACAATGAGATGAAACGAAAAGTTTTATCTACCTGCAACAGCAGATATCTATTATTTATATATATATATAGTCCCTTCCCCATAATGGTGTAAAAAGTCACAGCTGGCTCCATATCTGGCTCCACAGCTCCCTGGCAAGCATTGTGCCCCACTGAAAACCATGTCCAGACTAAGTCAATTAGAGCCAAGTATTTGCCTTCTATGCAAATCAGGCTCTAATGAAGCCAAGGACAGCTCAGTGTTTCCAAATTCAGAGGCGACCAAGGATGTCTGTTGGTGCTTGCCCATGGACCCATGACCCATGTAGAGCGGGAGAGGAGGGTGCAGGCAGCAGGCAGATGGGGTCAGGACAGGCAGAAAACACCAGTGGGTGAGCCACATGCCTTGATCTCCAGCTGCCACCGCAGCACTTTTGCAAGAGGCATTCTGACTCACGAGCCAGACCCAATTTTACGGGTGTGAGGCCTTCATGGTATTTCAGGCACCATTTGCTGAGGCACAGCCGGCACACAAATAGCTTCTTTTACAACCAGATGCAGATACACCAAGCCCCACCACGCACAGGCACAGATTTACTCACCCCACACGTTCGCGCTGGTTAATGTGGTGCACGTGTGCCACCGCTGCATCCACGCTTCCTTCGCCAGCTCACCGAGCCCTGGCTGCTCACACGTGATGGCTCAGCTGGGTTCTGATGGCTTTTGCAGGAGGAGGTCAGAGGGTTCATTCGAGGATATCCAAACTATTTTAAACATACCACCCCGTTCCTTTATGCTACGGCGGCTGCCCCTTTCTCCACGCGGCGCAGCAGATGCGGAGTCAGGAGCTTGAAGGCAGCTTTAAGCCATTTGCTGTAGGTGGATCAGCTTTCCTGGTTTCCCTCAGGTGTCTACCTTGTCGTGTCTCACACAGCCCCCAATCTAAGCAAAGGGAAGTTTAAACAGTTCAGACAGTCTGGAAATGCTGGGTATTCCTCCCCTTTCTGCATGACCGCCGTGGGCTTGTCTTCCAGGGTTTCACAGCTCTCCCCGGGCTCGACTGTTCGTTTCATTGCTCCATGCTTGGCCTCTCCTCCATCCTCCCCACGACTCCTCACAGTCGGGGGTCACTGAAGCTCGAGCTGCCGAGCCTCCCCAAGACCCCATCCCTCATTCCCAACCCATGAGTCACTTCCTCCCCTCAAGCCTCACCTTTCAACTTCCATTTTTCATTTGCTTATGATTTTCTCTCCGTCTCCATGGGGGTTTTTGCCCTACACTGTTCACTTGTAGCCCTGTTGGTCCGGGCAGGAGTGCTACTAGTGGTTTCAGCAGCTAATTGAGGGGTGTGAAGACATCACATAAACACACAGGGCCAAATCTTCCCTCCATGAAACACAGTGCCAGCCCCTGTGGGGATGACCTGACTTGCATCAGCTGAAAATCTGAGCCGTGTTGCTGCGATCACTTGAGGTTTCTTTTCTCCCAAGAAAACAACATCATCAGATGATCAAAAGTTGGTTGGAAATGGAAACAAATCCATCTGACAAGAAAGAGAAAAAGAAAAAAAATTCACTGCTTTCCCATTCCACATGCTTTGAAATTGGCATGTTTTCTACGATTTTTCATCAGTATTTTGTGTTGAAATTATTGTTATTTTTGGAAACCACCAGAAATACGGCTTTTGGTAGGAAAATGTAGAGTCTGGCCAAAAAAATAATTACTATCAGGATTTCAAAGAGCATACTGAAAAATCACCTCTAATTTAGTAAAAAAAAAAAATATGAAAATATAATTAGTGATAATTTAGTTTCATGGAGTTTCATTTTAAAAGAGCTTAAAAAAAAAAAAAAAAACAACCTTTTTTGCCTACGAAGTACCATAAAATTTTAACTCATCATAAAACCGTGCAGGCTGAGGTTTGGGGGTTTGCCATCCTCAACCCCTGGCAACCAATAGTAAAGGGACTTCTGAACAGCAGGGTCTGCCTGGGACTTCTGGCTCAATGGTCTCTGATGGACACATCCCTTATGGCTCTGTCTCATATAAAGCATTGGTATATGGTGAAGTAATTCTTACTTTTTTACTGTGTCAGCTATGAGTGGGAAAGTCCTCTATGAAAGAAGGAGTTGTTCAACCAAAATGAGCAAAAGCATGTCCAATCTTGGGATTTTAGCAGATATAATAAGCTATACCTGTGGTCAGAGCAAAGAAAATTCAGTAGTCACTTTGGTGCCTTTCAAAATGTCACTCCTGCTTTCAGTATCCTCCTCCTGGGCTCTTCTCCCTTTGCACCATCAGGTCACTAAAGCTCAGTCACAGTCAGTGCCATTTCCCCAAAGACTTGCCACCCTGAGCGCTCTCCCTCCTCACTGAGGTGATGGACTTGCCCATGAAAGGTTCTTCCTCCTGGAATCTCTTCTGAAGGTCCCAGTGTGTGTCCAGACTTCTCCAGCCAGTTCTCTCTTCCAAGAAACCAATGGGCAGAGATAACTCTAAGAACACATGAAAGTGGGGGAGTATCTCCACAATCACCCCAGAAGAGAAGAACATCCTTCTTAATTTATGCCACCTCCTCACAGCAGGCTCAGACCCCTCTGAGGGTCTGAGCCTGCCCAAAGCCCAGAGCCCAAAGCCATGTACGTGGGCTGGGAATGACAGTACATGGAGCACAAGTCCATATGGCCACAGTCCTTGCCCTTGACCAAAAAACACCAGGCTATTTTGGGGTCTGGGGTTACTTCTCTGGCTTACTGCTGGCCCATGGACATCCCAGTTTTCTCCTCCTGCTTATTACAGTGACTCCCCACATGCACTCTCCCAGCACCCACTGGGCATGCTTGGGCTCTCCCTTGTCACTGCTGGGATGGTGACAGATGCAGACCAGGGAGGGAACAGTGAACCCTGCCAGGGACAGGGGACTCCCACGGATGCTGCTCTCAATCCCTGGTGACCATCAGCCTATGACAAGTGGGGAGTGTGGGTGTGCAGGGAAAAAGGGACAAACAGGGCTTGGGAGGGTGCTCTGGTGCCTGCACTCACCTTAGGGGACTGGATCTTCCCCATCCCCAGCTCAGCAGGCCAGAGATTAATTACTAGGGACAGCTGAGACAGGAGGCAAATGGCATCACACTGAAGCCGAACAAGGCCTGTGACTGTGCGCTGTGGGATCCTAAATATTTGGAGAGCAAAGGTCGGGAGAACAGGACACTCCTCAGGGATGATTTTCTTCCCACCCTGCAGCAGGGGCATCGGGCTATGCCTGGAATGGCCCTGGGCATTAGCCAGAGCCAGCGCCCTCACAGGTCAGCCCAAGGTTCAGTGGTACCCACAGGCAGGTCCTTGGCCTCCAGGTTTCGGCTGCCACCAGGGCCCAGCACGATGCCCTCCCTGTGCCTGGGTGGTATTTATGAGAGCCCCAACGTGGTGGAGCCTGAAGCCAGGAGAAAAGCGCCTGCTGGCCACACTACATCCCTGGTGGGGTGTGGTAGGAGCTGCCGCTGGGCAGCTGATCCTCCTTGCCATGCCCCCTGTGCCCGCTGGCCAGGCCCCTGGCTGTTGCCAAAATAAACACTTGGGCATGACAACGCTGACATTTGCTCTCCACAATCAGGCGCTGGGAGAAGGACACGGCCGCGTTATTTTTTGCAGGCTGGTCACGAGGCAGGAGAGAACCTGCTCAGAGCAGGGAGGTGGGGATCATGTCCCACACACGGCCCATCCCTCCTGCCAAAAGAGCATCCCTCCACTGAGGGGGCACAGCTCTTGCCGATGCCAGTGACAGCAGCACTCCCATACTCGGCTGGTGGCTGTTGCTGGGGTGTAGGCAGGGGTGGTGGGCTGAGATTTCACCTGCTGGCTCTTTTTATGCTGGGAGAGATTAAAAATGTATCTGGGGGAAGGTTAGAGAGGTGAAGAACTTGAGCCAAGGGTCCTGCCACAGAAGATGTGCACAGAGAGGATCCCAAGCCTCACCACACCCCAGCCCACCCATGGGAATGATCATCAGTCAGACTTCTGATGGAGAAGGGACCACTGGGACACTTCACAGGTGACAGGCAGGACAGCCACCAGCAGGTACCTGCTGATGCTTCAACCTTTCTCATCTGTCCTAATTCCATATTCCTAACCCATCTTGGGATTTGGGAATCAGGTGAGATCTGCTGATGGAGTGCTGCCATCCCTGGGATTTCCCCTGGAGAGGGGGCTGGAGACAGAGGGAAGTCCCTGTGAATGTGGTGCCAGTCAGTTTTATTCTGGGAGAGATGCCAAAGCTGAGCACAGCTGCTGAAACAGGGGCTTTCCTCACGAGCAGGCTGCTGTCCCGCTGCCCCTGACCTCAGCTGAACACTGTAGGGAAAGTGG